GTAGTAGTAGTAGTAGTAGTAGTAGTTAGTAGTAGGTAGTAGTAGTTAGTAGTAGTAGTAGTAGTAGTAGTAGTAGTAGTAGTATCAGTAGTAGTAGTAGTAGTAGTAGTAGTAGTACTAGTACTAGTAGAAGTAGTAGTAGTAGTAGTAGTAGTAGTAGTAGTACTACTAGTAGTAGTAGTAGTAGTAGTAGTAGTAGTAAGTAGTAGTAGGGAGTAGTTAGTAATAGTTCGTAGTTAGTAGTTAGTAGTTAGTAGTAGTAGTGATAGCATCAGGAGTAGTAGTAGTAGTAGTAGTAGTAGTAGTAGCAATAGTAGTACTAGTAGGTAGCAGTAGCAGTAGTAGTCGGAGTAGTGGTATGCGTAGTAGAACTAGTCGTCGTCGTGGTAGTATTAGTGGTGGTGGTATTAGTAGAAGTAGCAGTAGTAGTAGGAGTAGTAGTAGTAGTAGAAGTAGTAGTAGTAGTAGTAGTAGTAGTAGTAGTGGTAGTAGTAGTAATACTACTACCGAAGTAGTAGTGGTAGTAGTAGTAGTAGTAGCAGCAGCAGTAGTCGTAGGAGTAGGAGTATTAGTCGCCGTCGTTGTAGTGGTGATGGTAGTAGAAGAAGAAGAAGTAGTAGTAGTAGTCGTAGTATTATTATTATTCTCAGTAGTAGTAGTAGTAGTAGTAGTTGTTAGTAGCAGTAGGCGTGGTGGTAGTGGTAGTAGTAGTAGTAGTAGTAGTAGTAGAAGTAGCAGTAGCAGCAGCAGCAGCAGCAGGAGTAGTAGTAGTAGTGGTAGGAGGAGTAGGAGTAGGCGTAGATCTAGGTGTAGGTGTAGGTGTAGCTGTGTAGGTGTAGCTGTCGCTTCAACTGTTGCTGATGTTGTTGTTGCTGCTGTTGCTGTTGTTGCTGTTGCTGCTGTGGTTGATGTCGTTGCTGCTGTTGCTGTTGCTGTTGTTTTATATTGCTGTTGTTGTGGCTGACACCAATTATGGTTAGTGCTGTGGCAGTAGCAGAACCCGCTCGCTCAGCGTCCAATGGCAACAAGTTTGTTGCTGTTGTTGTTGATGTTGCTATTGTTGTTGACGTTGCTTTTGTTCTTGTTGTTTCTGTAGTTGTGTTTGTCCTTGTCGTTGTTGTCGTTGCTGCTGTTGCTCCTCCTGTTGTTGTTGTTGTTGACGGTGGTGGTGGCGGCGGCGGTGGTGGTGTTGGTCTTGGTCTTGTTGTTATTATTGTTATGCATACTGATGATGCTGTTGCTGTTGTTCAAAAAGACGAACGTGCATAACAATAATTACGAACAGGAGTAGTCGTCGTCGTAATAGTCATAGTAGTCGCTAGTGTGGTTCTTGCTGCAGCAGTAATATGGTTAGCAGGCATATTCGTCAAAGAATATTCACATCGATGTTACTCCACCTCCATCGGCCTGCCTCCATGATGGCAGCAGCCACCCCATTAACAGATGTCCCAACTGAACCACAATTTTGCGGCGAGAGGATTGCGGAGTTTCGTGCGGGCTTTCGCTTTTGTTCATTAGCTTTAGTTCCCTGTATACAGACTGCGACAAACCGGCTCACATGGGCTTGGTGACCCAAGCCAGAACCCGAAGGATCTCCGCAGACAGTGCGAAAGAGCTTTTGCCAAGCACAGCATCGGATGCAAGAGATCTCTGTGGCCCCAATCCTTCGGTTCTTACACCTGGTAGGAGATGTCAAGTCGGGGTCTCGTGAATTTAAAGTCCGGGAGTATTGCATTGATTGATCACTTGCAAGCCTTTCAACATAAACTCCGATCCACAAGCCCAGAACGATTGAACCCAAGGGTGGTACGAACGGGGGTCGTCCTTCTGCAATACAAAAAAATTCGAAGGAAAGCTGCCTTCCATTGTTCGGATCCCTAGGTACGGAGAGGAGACCTTCGACTGCCAGCACCGTTCTCAGATTCGATGCTCGTAGGTCCCGGCCTGCAGCATTGCAGCTCACATACGTCCCCTGCACTGCCACAACGACGAAAGCCAGATGGACGAATGCTGCCCCTCTCGCGCATGTTTCACCTCCTCTCGTCCCTACTGCTAGTGCTAGCTCTAGTCATACTCCTACTCTTATTCCTGCCGATACTACTACTGCTACTACATCGTAGTCGTATTCGTCGTCGGTGTCGTCGTCGTAGTAGTACTAGTAGTAGTCGTCGTAGTAGTAGTAGTAGTAATAGTAGTAGTAGCAGCAGCAGGAGTAGTAGTAGTAGTAGTAGTAGGAGTAGTAGTAGTAGCAGTAGTAGTGTAGCAGTAGCAGTAGCAGTAGCAGTAGCAGTAGCAGTAGCA